GTGGAGGCAGGGGCAGTCCCTGAGCCCCATGGCTATGTACCCGTGATCAGTCCTCTTCGCAAGTCTCCCTGACTGGGAATGGCGAACTTCAGGCAGTGCTCTGGGAAAGCACCTCGGAATTTTCAAGTTGACTATAGGTTTAGAGGCGGCAGGTGGCTGGAATGGGCCGCATCACCCTGTTAAGGCCTGTTTTCTGTTTAGACAAGAATTTTAAATTAGCTTTATTTGTTGTTGTTGTTGTTGTTGCTGTTTTTTAAAGTGGGAGTTACCAAACTGCATGGGTTGTTTGAGTTGGCTTTCTCGAGTCCAAAAAGTGGATAAGCGTTGGTGAGGAAGGCCTGGGCGATTGGAACCCAAATGTCAGTCACTGTTATCTGTGACTCAGGTAACAGGTCTCTGGGTAGTTTTTAATCTTTGATCACAAAATGGCCTATAATGAACAGAGAAGAGTTAAAACCCAGGTCCCCTGGAAAGAGGATTGCTGTCCTGTTCATGTAAGAGCTGCTGTTTCCAGTCCTAGCTCCCCTAGGTGTGTAGACTTAGCTGGGGAGAGCAGCTTGGAAAAAGACCCTTAATGGTCATCTCCTTTAACCCCATCATTGGATACTTGGGGAAACTGAGTCCCAGAAGGAGAAAGGGCCCTGTCCATGGGCTCCCAGCTAGGAGATCTCTAGCTTCTGAATCCAATGTTCTTTTCCCTCTTCTTCCACGGGGACTTCTAGCCCGTGCACCCACCACAGCCCTGGCATGCTGTAGACCTTGGTGAATGACAAGGGTTTTCAGGGGTTTTGGTTTTTGTGTTGTTAGAGAAAACTCGTGAGATGCTTTGCTTAGTGCCTTAGTGGAGCTCCAGCTCAAAGTTGGAAACCATCAGGAGAGGCCGGTTCCTGCAGTCTGGAAAGGCCTGGCTCCAGACGGTCAGCTTTGAGCAGGTCTTTGAATAATACACGTAGTAATCATGATCGGTCCACGGCACTCCAGCCTGGGGACCAGGTCTCTAATTATAATAATAATAATTTTTAAGTTTTTTTTTTTTTTTTTTCCCCAGTTATAACTTACCCTTATTCTAGATCCTGCCAATACACCTGCTGTATGCCTCACTTTGTGCTGGGTCTCAGAGACAGGAGAAACAGGCCCTGCGGCCGTTGAGCTGCAGGAGCGTTGGTACAGGGATTCAGTGTAATGTTGGTAAATATGGTTGGGTTGAGGGTACCTTGGTTTAGATTTTGTGAGCAAGTTATTTCTGAGCCTTTCCCAACCTCTTAACTCTTTTGTTGCCCTATACCACTGGTTGCTGCTTTTCGTTTTCTTCTTCGTACTTTTCTGTCCTTTTTTTGTTATGAGCACATGTTTGCTTCATAATCAAAGGGGAACAGCAATAACTATCAAAATTCAAGGCACAAATTTAAGCACTGCAGGACGACTTAATTTTGCTACTGGAGAAGCTTTAAATGATAAAGGCGTCTCCTCAGCTTCCTGCCCCTTAGTCACTGCTAACATGGTCTTGGTTTTTTGTCCTTCTTCATTGGAGAATAGCAAAACTCCGTCTTCCACCCCACATTTCAGAGAATTACACTGTGCATTTACTAGAACCATGGTGACCCTGGCCATTGCATTCAAAGAACCGTGGACTACCCACTACCTCCAGTTTCTAGAACCATTGACTCACTCCTGATCTCATAGGAAAATGATATCTTAGAGCGAAGGAGCCTCATAAATAAGGCAGCAAAGCACTCGCAGGTTCAAGTTTTCATTTAAAAATTTTTTGTAGGGCAGACACGATGGTTCACACTTGTAATGCCAGCACTTTTAGGGGCTGAGGTGGCAGGATTGCTTGAGGGCAGGAGTTCAAGACCAGCCTGGGCAACATAGTGAGACCCCCATCTCTACAAAAAATTTTAAAAATTAGCTGGGTATGGTGGTGTGCACATGTATTCCCAGCTACCTGAGAGGCTGAGGCAGGAGGATCCCTTGAGTCTAGGAGTTTGGGGCCATAGTAAGCCGTGATCGGGCCACTGCACTCCAGCCTGGGGACCAGGTCTCTAATTATAATAATAATAATTTTTAGGTTTTTTTTTTTAAATTATAACTTACGCTTATTCTAGATTCTCAATATGTAATAAGTCAAATACCCAAATAGCAAAGGACATGAATGATTTGCCATAAAATTAGATCTACAAGTGGCCAATGCAAACCATGGTAACTCCGAATACCAAATACCAAAGGGATACTAACTGCCAGATTAGCAGACACTGAGATTTAATGCCTGTTACTTCATTGGTTAATAGGCTGGGTGTGGTGGCTCATGCCTGTAATTTCAGCACTTTGGGAAGCTGAGGTGGGAGGATCACGTGAAATCAGCCTGGGCAACATAGTAAGACCCCGTCTCTAAAAACAAACAAAATAAACTGGTTAAATAATGGTACATAAGAAGAATGAAATTGTTAAAGGTAACACCAGTCTCTGAAAGAACCTGAAGAAAATGTAGATGGGTGTTTACCTCCCCCCATTTTTAAAACAAGTTTTTTGCTCTTGCTGCTGAGGAGTGATTGTTGGCTGTTATCACAAAAAGTTGCCATTTTCACAGAACCACTGACCACAGAGAAACAATAATGCAGCCAACAGTAATGCGGCTAATGGATAAGCTGGCGATTCCCACAAGACCCCATCTCAGATAGTGCCAGGCAGGGGTGAGGCAGGGGCAAGGCAGGGGCCCATGACCTCAGACCTCGGTAATGGGGAGATCTGCAATCCTAATTTCTGGAGATGCTTGAAACGTACAAACACATTATAGGATGGTTGGCAGGATAGCTTTTGCAGAGAGGGCTGTTTTTCTGTAAGCAGAATCATTTTGAAAAGTAACATGCAGCTTGCCCATTCTCTTCACCTGGCTCTGCTCAGCACCCACTGTATGCCCTGTACTTCTTTGTTTCTAGATTCACAGAGCTGTCTCAGCTTACGAAACACAGCCCATTCTGTTATTTTATCCCCCACAGTCCTGGTGAGGAGGTGGGACAACAGCTATCGTATTTTTTACAGGAAGCAAATTCAGAAAGTTCAAGTGGCTTGCCCACAGTCATCCCACTTACTAGTAGAGGTGACGGTGCTGAAAACCAGGTGCATTTGTTCCCAGGTCTGTTTGTTCATTTTGTTGCATGCAATGTGTTAGTGGGATTTGCACATTACCTCATTTCCTTCCATCAGAGTTGGAAGTTAGAGGTTCTGGTTCTTTTTTTTTTGGGATGGGGAGTTTTGCTCTTGTCATCCAGCTTGGAGTACAGTGGCACAGTCTTGACTCACTGTAACCTCTGCCTCCTGAGTTCAAGCGAATTCTCCTGCCTCAGCCTCCGAAGTAGCTGGGATTGCAGGTGCCCACCACCACGTCCAGCTGATTTTTGTATTTTTAGTAGAAACGGGGCTTCGCCATTTTGACCAGACTGGTCTCAAACTCCTGACCTCAGGTGATCTGCCCACCTTGGCCTGCCAAAGTGCTGGAATTACAGGCGTGAGCCACCACACCTGGTGTCTGGTTCCTATTTTACCACTGATGAAAGGAAAGAGAGTAGCTTCTTGAAGGTGGTGATGGGAGGCTGTGTTTCTAAGAGGAAAAGAGGCGTTCTGTTTCCTACCCCAAGGGGCTCATTCCTCTTCCAGAGAATCAGTCAAAACCCTGGGCGATGATAGATGACCAAGTTTCACTTTCTTAGTCATGGTGGGGTTTGGGGACCACCAAGGTTGAAGGTAGGCTTCCTGTAGGAGGAGCCCCTGGAGGCTTAGAATCAGTGGGAAGGAGCAGGGCCCAGTTCCAGGTAGGACTGTCAGACCTGCGACTTCCTCAGAGCTGGGGCCCAGGCGCCTCAGCCTCACCCCCGCCTGTGTGAGCACGGGGCCAGGCACAGACAGGCACAGATGCGCCGACCACCTTGAATAGGTTGTACACAGATCCTTTGGAAGGAGGCCAGGCTAGGGAGAGCAATGTCTGCTCACCCCTGGGAGGCATTTGTTGTGGCAGATATACCAGGCAAATGCCAGAATAGCGGCGTTTAAAGAGAAAAGGAATGACGGTCCCCCCACCTCATGAGGCCCTTCTCTCTCATGAGGCACCTAGGACCCTGTGGGGCCAAGAACACGCTCTGCCCTCCGTCACCCTCTCCAGTAGTGTTTCCCGGTTGGTCTGCTCACTTATTCATTGAGTCATGGATATTTATTGATCTTTTGCTTTATATGACATGCCAGCCATTTGCAGAGGGCACAGAAATTTATAAATCACTCCCCTGCCAAGAGCTTCTCAAGAGTAGGTGGGCAGACACGGCCCAGGGCCATATAATGCCAGGAGCAGCCACTGCACATTGGCCATGCACCCTTGCTCTGCACCGCAGGAAGTACCTTTGGCACTTTGTCTCACGCTGTCCTTGCAGCCTCTCTGAATGGTGGACATTGCTCCCCCATTTATTATTATTATTATTATTATTATTATTATTATTATTAGAGATAGAGCTGAACCTTTTGGGCTCAAGCAGTCCTCCTACCTCAACCTCCCGAGTAACTGGGACTAAAGGCGTATGCCACTGCGCCCAGCTAATTTTTTATTTTTTGTAGAGACAGGGTCTCCTGATGTTGCCCAGGCTGGTCTCGAACTCCTGGGCTGAAGCGATTCCCCTGCCTCAACCTCCCAAAGTGCTGGGATTTTAGGTGTGAGCCACCATGCCTGGCCCTCCCATTTTAGAGATGAGGAAAAAGAGCCTCGGAATTGGTTGCTTCCTCAGTGGGGGCCGCACCTGGGAATTGAGTCCAGGTCTGAGTGTATAAGCCCTACTTGCTTCCTGTCAGCGGGAACATGACACTTCCTGGGATGCTAGGAGGGATTTAAGTAGAAAGTGGCCTGTGAGGAAGGTCCACAGGGAATGCGGGCAGATGGGGAGAGCCGAGGCCAGGGGTCAGAACTCTGTGTCTCTGGTTGGGGGTTTGGCCACTAACCCTCTGCCTTATTGTCTCCACAGAGTGCAGCAGCTGCCCCGAGCCCCGTGCTTGGCAACATTCCCCCCAACGATGGGATGCCGGGAGGCCCCATCCCGCCAGGTTTCTTTCAGGTACGTGCGGGGCCCGTGGGTCTCGTGCTCCACATTATATTCCAGGCCAAGGCCCTGGGCAGGTGGGAGGGTGGGAGAGAAGTAAGTAGCTCAGTTTGCCATGGTCTAAATACAGTTGCTTTATGCTGGTTCAAATCCTTCCCTTCCCATCCCTTTCACCAGTCCTTCTAAAAGCTGAGAGGGAGAAAAAGATGGGAGAGCAGACACCTCCTGCATTGCCTGCACTTCTGCTGGAGTTTGCTTTCTTCATGCCAGCTTCGTAGGCGCGACACAGTCTGCCCCTGGCCAGGGAGGCGGTGGGGGCTGCTCCCAGGCCACTGTGGAGCTTTCTTTTAACAAAAGGCTTTAAAAAATATCAGTAAATCGTTCTTTGTTTCTGTTTTGTTGCTGCTGCTGTTGTCATCGTTTACTTTGCCTGTCCAAACTACAAACCTTAGGCGTAATCTAAAAAAAACACAAAAACCCACCATCCTGGCAGGTCTCAGAATCCTTTCCCTCTGGTTAACCACTTGATTTTTTCCGAGTGTGATCACAGACAGCATCCCACAAGCATCTGTGCCCGTGCTCTGCCCGCCACAGGCAGGAACAGATCCCACGTGGGTCGAGAGCCTGGCCTTCTCCAAGAGACACCTTGTTCGGCTTTTTCTGGGGTGTGTGAAATTGGGCTTTCTGTTTTGCCAGGTTGGGCGCGGCTGCCACCCTCTCTGCACCGCCTCCTCCATGTCTACCTTCTCCCCGGTGGTTCATGTGATTTAAGCCAACTTGAGACTGGGAAATGCCATGTTAGGGAGGTATAGCGTGCAGGGCTGTAAGGAACTTTCATGATGACACTCACGATCATAACATCTCTCATTCTTTCAAGCCTGTCGGCAGCTGAGTTTGAGAATCCGCCCGAGTTCCCCACACCTTTTGAAAGATTGGCACTCCCAGATAAGAACATGGAAAGAGCTGTTACGTGGAAAGGGAGGCAGAAATTTCTTCTGTGCAGCCCTAGAATTCACAACTAGGACCAGTGAGGCAAAGTCCAAAGACACTTTTGCTTGGTGTAGGCCAGAATTTAGCACCCGGGCTCACCCCACATCAAGGCGGGGGGCTCTCTGGCCCTAGATGCGTCTGAGCAAAGACTGACAGACATCTGTTAGGAACGTTAAAGGGGTTTCCCTCTGGGAGAGAGATGACCTGGAAGATGATTCTACTTGGCAAGGTTTTGTATTTGGGTTGGTGTTAACTCCCGAAAGAAGAGGGCTGGGACATGCTGCTCACCAGCTGAGAAGGACGGCAGTGAAATTCAGGTGTTCCCCAAAAACAGAAGTGGCAGGTCACGTGATGGTGGTAGGAGGAGAGAAAGGGACGCAGGATGGCCATCGGGAGCATTGGATGGCCACATGTGGATCTGTATGCATTCCCAGAACACTGCCAAAACTGGGGCCTTGTCCAAGGGGTGGAGATGAGCGTAGCCCCAGAAATAGGTATGTGAGCTCCAGGTTGGGACTGGACCAGGCATTGCCAGGGTCTCAGCTTGGGGCAAGGCTGCGACATATTGAAGATGGGTTGAGAGTTAGACCTTAAAATGCTGGAAACCCATGGGTCCAAGAAAGGCAGGAGCCAGTGGGGCTGCTGTTCTTCTCCCAGGGAGGAAATCCAAGGGGCCAGTGTGTGAGAGGCTCATACTCACCAAGGCAGGCATCTTCTTGGCCACTGCAGATGGCGCCCCACATCCATCAGTGGGCCTTTTCCCACTGGCATTCTGTCCAGTTGGGAATTCTTTCTAGGCTCAACATGCCATGGATGCTCTTGATGCAGTGCGGGTGTGGCTTCCCTGTCTGGTAGACCCACTCAGGTACTGTGCTTCATCTGTGTGCATCCTGATTGAGGCTGCTTGCTGGCATCTGGGTGTCCGGTGCAGATTAGACCACTATGGTAGAAAGAGGTAGACAATACCCAGTTGTATGTTTTAAAAATAGGCCATTGACTTCTATTTTGGCCTGACTCTAGGACAAGGCTCAGGTCTGCCTGATATGTGGGCAGCTCCCAACTTCCTGCTTTGGTATAATCATCCATGGCTAAGGCCTAATTCCAGACATACTTCTTGGGCCCTCCCCTGTGACGTTTGGGTTGTGTGGTCAGAAAGCCAAGACTGATTCCTGTCCTTATTTAGCCATTACTAGCCACCATCAAACAGAGGTAACTTTTGGACCTTCTTGACTTGAGGTCACCTCTGTTTCCCAGGCACGGCATGCCATCAAGAGCTGACAGGGTCATCCAGCAGACAGCAGAGAGCAATGGCTTGGCCTCTCTGCTTCCTGGGTGACGTTGGTGACTCCTTTCTCTCACTTCCCGACATCACTTCCCCATCAGTCACTTGCAGGGGGATGGGCTAGGCCAGGTACCTGGCCTGGTCCTTCCCAGCCATGATGCTGAACCGCTCAGGCTGGGGTCACTGCCAAGGGGAAAGGGTATCTCTCTGGAAGGAGGTACTGGCTGCCCATTTCCGGAGTAGGCCTGCTTACAACAGGAGTATTAGCTATTGATTGCCGGCCCCGCGCCTCACTGGTATTGCAGGCGGCCACTCTGATATTAGAAGGGGAAATAGAGATGGTATCAAGGATTTTATCTGCTACCAACAATTGCACTCCTTCCCCTGCTTGGCCAAGGCCCGGGTAGGAAACTCTGCCGCGGGATGGCTTTGCACCAGGGAGTCGGCTTGGGATGGCTGAGCCAGCTATGGCCAGACCCTGGCCTAGGGTGGCCAGCCCAGTTTTCAGGTCAGGACTTCACCCCTAGCTGGTCCTAAATGTAGAAGCCCCAGGCCTCCAGGCTGAGTGGGAGGGAGCAGCCGCCCACCTCCATCCTGGTCCCTCAGTAAGCAACACGGGGCCTTGCTTCTGCAGGCCTCTGACTGCCAGGCTTCAGCTCCTGGGGTCAGAAGTTTTGGCCGTCCACACATGAGGGTCTGCCATCAGCTTTCTCTTCTTCCACGTCCAGGTTTCCAGGGCAGGCAGTACCTCTCCGGTCCCGTGGCATGAGATGTCTCTGGTAGCAGGTTAAGGTCTGGCAGGGAGGTGCCTTGGAAATTGACCTGACCACACCTCACTGTTGGGGAATAGTGTGGGTTTCTTGGGGTGTTGGTAGAATTTAGCAACGGCATTCTACTGCTGAGTTCCTTTAAAAAAACAAAACAAAAAAAAGACTGCCCTAATATTGGCATCCCCAGCACCTGGCATGTACTAAGGACGCAGTAAATGTTTGAACTGAGTTTATTTGTATTGCTCACGTTACAGAACGGGAGCCCAGGCAGCCCCAAAGCACCAGATCCAACATTCTGATCAGGGAGGGCCTAACAGGAAGCTGGCTTGGGAGTTCAGGAGTGGTGTTCTGGTGTTTTGCAGCAGGGAAGGACAAAGAGGACTTGGCCGCATACTTGCTGAGTGACCTTGGGCAAGTTGCTCCCCATCTCTGGACTCTAGTTTTCTCACCAGTAGATGGAGCAGGCTGGACCAGGTGGTCTCTGAGGGCCCTTCCAACTTTGATTTTCTGCTTTGGATCCAGATGGATTTTACATAATCAAACAGTGGCGTTTTTTTTGTTGTTGTTGTTTTTTTCCACGCAGCTTAGCTTGGTTGGGCTGCACATCTGGCAAACCCAGCTTAACTTTGGCCAGTCTCACTGATCTGGGTGGGTCCCCTCGTTCCTTGGTCCTTAAGGGGGGCACTGTCCAGTAAGAATTTCTAAGTTCCTTGGCCCTAAGGTGGTCCTAAGGAGGGCACTGTCCAGTAAGGATTTCTAAGTCCAAAACGGGACTCATAAGAGGGCAGGGGTCATGGAGAACTGAGAATTGGGTACAGGCTGTTTTTCTTCTTGTTTTGTTTTTAAATTCCAATAATTGTTTTCAGTTACATAGTGTTTTTAAACATGCAACTTACTTTCATTTTCATCAGTGTTTCTGCAGAGAAGGCATGCAGATTGGAAAAGTGAGACTCAGAAAGGTGAATGACTTGCCCGAAGTTAACCGGGGGCTGTAATCAGAGTCTAAACCCAGATTTCCTGGTTCCTCATGGGGTGCTCTTCCACAAACACTCCAAAGTCCAAATGTAGATACACATCTGATTGGACGGTGGAAGCAGGGAGAGTAGAGAATTAGAGAAAAGGTGGGAGAGACCAAAAGGAGATAGACAAACTATAACTCTTATCTAAAGAAGTAGCAAATAAGTTTCCATTCAAATGCCAGCTCTGCTTGATGTGTGGTGGCTGCTCAGAACACCGTGAGAATGATTCTGAAGCTGTTTGTCAACAGATAGTGACTGGCAATGTCTACCATGAACGTGAATGTGTCAGTGGTGGTACACGTCCTATTTGCCATCCATGATCTAGTCCAAGCTTCTCATTTGTAGATGGGGAAATGAAATCACAGATGGAGAAAGGACTGTGGTTATGACTGTCATTGGCCATCTCTGATATGCAAGGCATGGGGCTTGGTTCCAGGCTCGAACTGAATCAACCATAGTCTGCCCACAGGAGCAGCCAGCCTAGCAGAGAGACTGACAGGTAATCCATGCCCTGTGGCAGGACAGAGGACAGGCCTGCCTGCCTGCCAAGCTGAGAAATCAGGAGGGCATTCCTGGAGGCAGTGCAGCCCTGGCCGAGATGGTGTCTGGAATGAGATGGTTGACAGGCGCTCAGCGGGAGATGAGGCTGGAGAGGTTGCCGGGCAGTTGTTGAAGGACCTTGTTGAGTGTGGGCTTGATCCAGTGGGCAGTGGGACACCAGGGCAGCACTCTGGGCTGGATAATGTCTTGGCCAGATCTGTGTTCCAAAACAGTTACTCTGCAATTGTTCCAGTGGCTTCGTGGAGACAGGGACTTGGGCACTGTGGCCGGTGCTCAGGAAGTAGCTGACCACCTTTTTTTTTTTGGAGACAGAGTCTCACTGTGTCACCCAGGCTGGAGGGCAGTGGCGATCTTGGCTCACTGCAACCTCCGCCTCCCGGGTTCAAGTGATTC